TAGAATAAAATGGCGGCAGTTGCAAGTTTTTATGTTGCATTATATTGGCGCAACTCTTTATCAAACACAAAATTGTAGTAAAAAATACACTTATAAAACACACAATATAATACCCAATTTTTTTAATAAAATATAAAAGACAAGGTTGTGCCGAGTATATAGATACCCAACACGCCAATTGTGTGCGCCCATGAAACGGCGAGACAATACAGCACCCTAGATTGTCTATAGGTAAGGCTTTCAAAGCCTGTACAGGTCATCAGTTTAGAGTTTACTGTGAATATTGGCCCCAGAATTATTGCTCTCACTCTGGCACACACACCAACACTGAACATGTGTGTCGAAATTGACGTTTTCTTACGTAGGTGCATCGGACGCATGGTTGCAGGGACAGGGGACTTTGGGGTGTCTTTAAATTTATTTTACTTAACTTTATTTTTTCAACAGTCAATTGCTGTCACAAGCCCCCTATATGATAGCACATTGGAGGTGACAGGTTCTCTTTAAGGTGACTTTATGGGTCTATTAGACTCCTAATGTCACCTTTGTACTTTAAAGAAGCTGATCAAGTGCAGATCGTACTTGATCAGCTTCTTCCCGGCTTCTCTAGCTGGAGTATGACAGCTAAGAAGCCGGAAGTGATGCAATCAGCGTCGCTTCCAGCAGAGAGGAGATAGGCAAATGGATGTACGCTGGTCTCTCTCTCTGCTGCCCACCGATACCCAAGAAGCCAGTCCCAGGCCCGCAGGAGGGGCAGCTGAGACCAGGAAGCCTAAGGGTAATACTGAGGGGGTAGGACGTTCCTTTAAGTCTTATTTGAAGTTGCTCTTTCTTTCCAGATCTCCACCCCGTCCCAGTCCTGGAAGCCTCCATTATTCAGATGAGGACGTGGCCAAATATAACGATCTCATTCCTGCTGAGAGCGGAAGTCTGACTGAGAAGCCCTCGGAGGTATCCGACTCACAGGTGAGGGGAGATTGCTTTCTTTCGAGACACCCATCTCGGTTACCTCAGCCTGTCTACCTGCATTGAGTACAGAACAGCCAGGACTGACGGCAGAGGTCTATGAAAGGTGGACATGAGATTTCAAGTGTACCTGTTGCCCATACATGTTGAAGACAACCACTTTGTTTTCCGACCAGTATGCCAGGAAGGAGAAGTGACCAGGTGCTGCCCATCTTTGAGGGAGTCAAACAATAGACATTGGATCAGCTTTTCTAAATTGATTGTCGCCTGAGAGTGGTTGTCCAGTAGACATCTGCTAGGTCCTTCAAGAGCTAGACACCAGATCCATCCAGACTCAAAATTGGTCAGCTCATGTCTATATACTTTATATGTCCTGCTACTGGTGATGCCATTGGTAGAATCCTTAGCATCCCATGCCGTTGAGTGTGTCAGATGCCCATGGTCCTCGTTGGGTGCTACGGTATCATCCAACAGCTGCTACATCACTGCTAGGTCCCTTAGGCACAACAGTGACCTACTAGAACCACAGCGCAGAGGAGGACCAGGCAGGAGACTCTCTTGGAATTGTCAGATGCTGAAGACTCTTTAGGTCTTCAGGAGAATGAAGAGGATCATTGGCGGTGTGGACAGTTAAGTATTAACGCTGAACTCCAGGCTGAAGAACAAGTTGCCCTTGTAGTGGGTCCCCTCCACACTGCAAGGGTTGAATGTTTGGTCTAGGAGAAACCTTACTTTATTCCTTGCACCCCAGGCAGCTGGAGGTATCCTCCGCCGCCCAGTGCTCCCAGGTATGTGGCTGGGCCCCCATCACTTTCATGGACAATGCAGGTCCTACATTGTTTGTGATGACGTTGGAGGGCCTGCAACTGGTTAGCCTGTGAAGAGAAGAGGCTTTGGGAGACCGGTCTTTGGAGGAGGAGCCTATGAGAATAAGGTAAGTATATCACCTTGTTAATTCATCATTCCCTAGACAAATTAGCATTTAACCCTTGCAGTGTGGTGGAGGAACCCACTGCAAAGGAACGTTTTTCTCCAGCCCAGAGTTGAACCTTAAGGTGTCTATAAACAATTTGCGGAACCATAGGCCTTGCAAATCTCTGAATGTTCATTCCGTGCGAGGCAAAATCAAACATTCACAGTGTATTTTCTTTTCAGGTCGACTATGTAATACCGATTTATGGTCACTAGATGGAGCTCAGGAGCAAGGAAATACATATTTCCTTTACTCCTTAACTCCATCTAGTGGCCATAGTGTGGTATTATATTACATTCGACCTGAAAAGAAAATATACTAAGAACATTCGTTTTTTTTGCCTTTATTAGCACAGAACGATCGTTCACAGAAACAGACCCCTAAGTATTTTCTTTATCGGGGGGACATTTTGTAAGTTTTTCTTAATTAAAGCTGAACTACGGCCACCTTAATTTATTTATTTTTCTTACCTGGCCGCAGTTGTGCTTTAATGCGAAGGTGATACACTGATTGAATGGTTTGGTGCAGACAGAAGGCCGACTGCTCCAGATAGAACACAATGGCAACCATTGTCACTATGAAAAGCAACCTTCTGAGGTTACTGGGAGTTCCCCGGTGTGAGCGCACATTGTACGGGGTGTGACCGGAGCAAGCGTTTGATAAACTAGAGACAATAAGGAAACCGTCATCACGGAAACGACTTCATAAAGAAAAAAGGAGAGTTACCCATAAAGTCTGT